AAGTGGGATCGATTTCTGTCGTCTATACGAAGTCTCTGGATGCGTATAGATCTCTCGGATGCTCGTGGCAAAATCCACTGGCCTTCAGTCCGGGCGTACATCCGTCGATCAAAAGCCATGCTCACACATGCCATTGTCAAGAATATCTCGACGCCGTCTACGCACAGAGTCTTGGAATTCTTTAGCAGGTGCCCGAACCTAGAGCATCTTGAGATATGGGCTCAGTCCAAGCCTGATGTCCTTTATGACCTGTACAGGGGCTCCAAAGGATTGAAAACTCTGATCATATCTGGCCACACAGCCCTACCGCAGGAGACCATTGGCAAATTCCTTCAGACTTTGCCACTTTTGGAGCGACTCGAAGTTCATGATGCGAAGCCATCTAGCTTGGCTCGGGTACAGTGGCCGGAGACACTTCCAAGTCTCAAAAGTATCACTTTTGGCGCCATGGTCGCCGCTTCTGCACCGGACGTGCAGACTCCTGCTCTTCATCTTCCGGTATGGCTCTCGTTGCCTTCCTGTCTTTCACGTGTAATACAATGAGTCTAATGCCATACAGCAGGGTCTTTCTACGTGTCTTCCTAATCTAGAAGAGCTTCGGCTCAGCTGGAACCCACGAATCTTCACTCCTTATCGTTTAAGCTTTGATGTAAATGAGCTTTCACGGCTGCGCCGGCTGGACCTGAGCGGCATGTATGTTGGAGCAGAATTTGGTCTGCCGTCCAGCCTCGAATACCTTCGCATCCGTGGAGGCACAGGGCTCGTCGGAGGCGCCCTCGTCCAAAGGGAATTCCCATTTGCCTACGAGGAACCCTTTGAGCTTCCGAATCTTCATACACTCATTCTCAATGACGTGCCTTGGGCCACGGGCTACACCGTTCAGCACTTCTGCAGCATCGCCAAGGCGCCTTTGAAAGTCCTCCATCTCGACAGCTGCTTCCGAATCACCGGTGCTCAGATTTCCGAACTAGTCCGCATGGACAGTCTGAACGACTTACAGGAACTCAACATCTCGCACATTGCGGGTACTGACGACAAGTCGGCTGCCGTTATAATTAGCGCACTACCCAGCCTCAAGGTCGTGCATCTCTCATATACAAGGATCTCCGGCTGCACAATAAAGGCTTTTGCCGATGCACGAAGCTCCGACGACAGCGTAGCGAAAGTGGATCGGATATACGCTAAATTCTGCGACGAAGTGTCATCAGATGCGGTCGTGTATGGACGAGCTCGGGGCGTGGAAATAATAGCATAGGTGCAACGAGCAGGTCTCCAAGTATTGCATGTATTATTCTATTTCGGGCTTCGGGGAACATGTATTATTAGATGATATCATATGGATGAAGTTCAGTAACACCATCTCACAGGACAAAGATTGTAGCAGTGGACAGAGGCGTTTGCGCTGTGTAACTAACAATCTACGGACAACTAGACACCCCGCTCCTTGCACCACCTCTCGACCTCCCTCGCCAGTTTCTCCCTCTGATCGCGCACCATTTCCATCATAGGCTCCACCTGCTTCTGCACCGTCGCATCATACGCAAGATGCCCATTCGACACGACCCCCGCCGCCTTCTGCGGCGCCAGATGAGTATCGTAGATCGAAACCATCAGATCCATCACTGCAGACAACTGGTTCGGAAGCCACTACATCCACATTAGCTAGGTTCCTTCCAGATACAACTAGGAAAAAGCACAAACCGTGACGATAGGGCTACCACCGGTAGCAGTGGGATGCGGCGTCCGCTTGATGATATACTCCCTGGCAAACAGCCAATGGCGCCAGCGGAAGCTGCGAACGTGGTTCAGCGTCTTGAGAAGCAGGACGGTAGTCTCCGTGTCTTGGACTGCAAAGTTGCGGACGTCGACTTCGGCGGCCTTGGAGTTTATATAGGCGAGGAATTCACGGTGGGGGAGGGGTCTGTAGGCGCGGAACTCGTATAGGATCTTGGTGAGGGGGGTGGAGGGCATGGGGATTTGGAGGAGGTGGTCGAGGAGGGGGATCTGAGGTGGGTATTAGTTGGGATTGCAGATGAAAGGGGGTCAGTTAGGGTGCGTACCATGCTGTCGTTGGCGCCGCTTTCTCCTCGGAAGTAGAGGGGTTTGTTGTCTAGGACGCCGTCGTAGATGACGCCGTTGGGGAACATGGATTGAGAGGTGATGCCAAAAATGAAGACGCGGAAGGAGAGGTATTCGGCCGGCTTGGAGTTGGCCCACATGTCTGATGTTGTTAGCCGTGAGTTGAGTCCGTGAGTGCGGATGAATGACGGTGAAGTGGCTTACCCTCCATGGAGGCTTCAATCTTTTCCATTGACGCGAGAATCTCTCGGAAGCCGTCGTTGACCACGGAGCGAGGGCCACCCTGCTCAAGGGTATCGACGACCTTGAGGGCGCCACTGATCAGGCCATTGGACTCCTTGACCATGTCGACATGGGTAAGGATGAAGCCTGCCTCGGAGCTCTTGGGGTCGAGGCCGCGCTCAAAAGCCCTCACCAGGCGGAGGTTGTCATACACCAAGCCCTTGGATGGCTCCGCAAGATGGTAGTTGAAGAGCGAATAAGCGGCAGCATAGGACATGAATGGAGGGATGTCCAGCCTGAACAAGGGTGTCAGCGATATAACATAACGACACAACAAAGACATACAACTGCGCACAGTGGTACATGGGGCGGGCGACAGCCTTGGGCAGCTTGTCCCGTCCCAGTCCATACCCGTTCTCCGGGGCCTTGCACCAGTTCTCCCAGCATGGCTCAAGGAGATAGGCCGAAGCAAGGAAAGAGTAGTCTCGGAACACTGCGGTGACCATGTAGAGGTCCCGGGAGCCATCGGCAGTGACGAGCTTGTCAACCTCGTCAGTCAGGTCAGGAAGTTCAGTCTCGACAGCAGGGCCCAGTTCGTATTTGGCCAGCAGACCGGGACTACCATCCTGCCTGACGACAGGCATACGGTCCAGCAAGTCCATCAAGGGCTTGAAGGCATCGGGCAGCGTAGTAGGAGAGGTGCAGTAGGGTAGAAAGCCAGTGGAGGTGGTGATGGTGAAGGGGTCCAAGGACCTGGGAAGGATAGAAGGGTCATCATGGATATGAGGGAACCTCTTCAGGGTTGTGGTAGAGGTTGGAGGGACTTTGATTTGAGTCATGGTGGAAGTTGACAGGAGGAGAGTATGTCTATGTGTCTATAGGGGAAGGCAAGGGTGACTTGATATAGTGATGGTGGACTAAGAAACACAAGAGGATCTATGATGTCAGACAAATGAAGGAAAGCGGCAGTACAAAAAGTCAGCTAGAGCAAGACGAGGCCTCCAGAGGACTTGGAATCCAGAGAAACAGACGGGGGGTTTGGCAGGAAAGGAGGCGATTCTTATAATATCAGAGGCCGGTATTATTTCCGGCCATGGGCATGCCATTACGAAATTCGCGTGGAGACATCGACTCTGCGCGTGAAACCATGATAGAATCATCTGCAAGCGTCAAGACACCAAATACTAATCTGATATAGAGATATTCAATGCAAACTTCACCATCTTTCGGCTAATCATTGCATCTCGATGCCTCAACAACATCTCTATACAAACAGCTGCCAGAGAGGGCACGATAATGTCACGGGAGCACGCTAAACCCGATTTGGCGTAGTAGACGCTCCGCTCGAGTCGCATTTGTCGACCCTGGCACTTTGGGGGAAGCCTTCAGACTACATCTAGACATTATACCATGTGTCTGGAGTCAGTGATCATTGAAGCTCCTGGCCAATTCATGGTTGTTGCATGGATAATGCCATGGAACACTCCGTGTCATGTACATTGCCTGCTCTATATCTCGATAGATGCCAAGATCTGTTGTTACATAAGGCATACGCTGATTGGCTACTTCTGCCGTCATCCTGCCAGATTAGCGTTTTTTAGTCCCGTTAGCGCGATAAGAGGCCGGAATCAATCCGGCCTCCGAAGATAGCCGAAGATCGCACGTGACCAATACAGATAAGGTTGGAGATGCGCTCACGTGGTGCATGAGAATATATGCAACTGAGAGCGTCCCAGGTTTGTCTACTCGCGTGACTGACTGTTAGACTACGTCAGACCTGCAGGGCGAATATAGTTCTCACCGTACAGCTCACCAGCAAATCAACAGCCCCATTACCAATGTGAGCACATGGGAACTCGTTAGCATCCGAGCAACGAACTCGAGAGTCGAGGTTACCCCTTACATACGGAAAGGAATATGCGCCCGAAGCAGCGAATGACTGGTGACTACCCTGACAAAAATCTTTCTCGGAGACCACATAGGCAGGCACTTCTACACTTGAAAACAATTCGTCAAATGTAAGCAAGGTTCCGATGCGACGATCACGGATTGGTGTCGACGAAGCAAAGGCTTAGATATCCATTCCAATGGTGCACATTGCAGGACCACAAAATGTTCTTTGATGCGTTGACCCAACTCGATCAGTCATGGTGCCATTGTGTCTGTGACAGGCTGCAATTAAACAACTACCGGGAAGGTAGAAGCTCACATATTCGCTTGAGACGCCCACCATGTTGAAAAGGCACCCAGTAGGCCTTGAAGGATTGACCGATGTGATATAGATAGAAGAGCTTGCCTATAAGAGCCTGGATACTCCCATAAGGGCCTACCCGACGGAATTGGCACGGTGTTCGTGCTCGCAAAGGACCAGACTCTGAATGCTCATGGCAGACGCCGTGGACCAGTCTGTTTTCATGGAACGTTCCTCATTCGAAGCAGAGATGATATTGCATTGAGACAAGTTCATGCAGAATATGTCTAGTAACTCTAATCGGTATAATATACAGTTCGTGACTAATTTACACATTCCACTTCGGAAACGTCGAAGTGTTATATAGTTGATTCTTACACAAGTCATTAGCTTCGATCAGAGATCCGAACGTCAGAACTTACTGGACCCAAGAGCATATGTCAAAGCACATAGACCCAGACATGCGCATTTGCTCAACCTGGTGATGACCTGATTTTACGTTTCCATGTCACCCGCTCGACCCTTGAGTATCTGTGCTCGGAGACACTTTTTGAAGCTCTCGGTACTCCTCTTCCAGGGCTTTCTGCATCTCAAACTCGGCTTGTCGCTCCAATCGAATCCGCTGCTTTTCCATATCTCGTTCAACGCCTTTGTGCATTTGCTATCGAGATACCAAATAATTAGCCTTTACAGTTGAGGGATACTGAGCAGTCTCCGAGCTTACCGCTTTCTCTTGCTCTTGGGACCAATGCACAAAGTAGACGATCCCCGCAGTACCAAGACTGGTGAGTGCTAGTGTCACCTTGGAAGCTCGCGACATTGTAGTGACCTTGAAGAAACGCACCACGCCAACGGCTCAATTGACAATCTGACAATGCCTGGCAATCTTAAAAGCCGTATCGGTGATAATCATCAACGGCAGCGGTGTGGGATGGCAGAACCCCCGACCGCCTTGCGGGTCATTCGTGGCGTATGCGATTCGGGGATCAAGCTGCCCGCTACCAGCTCCACAACTCTACCTTATCTATCCTGAGCTCTGTCTCCTTCATTTGATTATTGTCGCGGTAGCTAGAGACACTCCGCCACCATGGTGAGCTATATGGGCTCTTGTAATTTGAAGTATGGCGGAGGCTAACATACCTGATCTAGTCCGCCCAGAACTCAGCAGGCATTCAGACCCTCCTCGATGTAGGTCATGCTGGGGTGATTGCTGTTGGACCTGGACTAATGTTCCACTGTTAGGCCGAGAGAGAGGCTCAGAAGATTATACAGCAAGGTATGTACCCTATCTTTTTATAGCTTCGTTAAGAGATTTCGATTTCATGAGACCTTACTGACCTTTTGCGACTCCAGCCAGAGAATGTATGCCCGCTTAATCTTCGCCCTCAATTGGCATATCTGACGATGGGTACAAATAGATCGCACGAAGCGGATAAGGGACGCAAAGGCAGAGGCTCAAAAGGAAATTGACGAGTACAGACAACAGAAGGAGGAGGAATTCAAGAAGTTTGAGGCTGAGGTGAGTCTCGGTTCTGGCGATCGGTTCTGATGGAGTCAATGCAGGGGGCTTTGCAACGCTACCTCACGATTGTAGCTGACTTTTGGACAATCCCACAGCACTCGAGCGGATACAAGAAGGCCGAGGAGGATGCCAACAAAGAGGCCGAGGCCAAACTTCAAGAGATTCAAGCTGCGGGCAAGGAGAAGGGCGGCAAGGTTGTTGATGACCTGATCAATGCAGTCGTTGATGTGAAGCCTCAGGCGTCAGACAAGATAAAGGCATAGAAGTTTGGTACATCAATGTCTGCTGTCTTTCAACCCGTACGGAGTGGTTGCACCTGTTCGGTTTTTTGCTTGCTTTAGGGTCTTGAGCATAGCTTCTGTGTTGCTGTTCGCATTAGATATCAAATATCCCTGTTTCTCCCCAGCTTCCCTGCGCTTAGCAAGAACGATAGTAAAGATGGATGCCTTTCATAGTGAGCTCGACTGATGCTTGCAGATCAAGCAAATATTCTTGGGTCAGGGCGTCCATCATCTGACATTCAACTGACAGTCCACCAGTGAAAGTCTAGAAATATGTACAAATATGCGCACATCCGCATTAGCCCATCGCCGCTCTCCGCGCCTGTGATTATTTGACAACCATGTATAGAGTAGATGGTAAGGTTCTGCCTGAGGCATGAATCGCGGATCCACTTGCGTCATAAGGACTGCGGCATCTAAATCACAAGTAAACTTGTCCTTCATTTCTCTTTCTTTGAAACAATTAAAAGCAAAGACAAATTTGGTGGACGAATATGGTACAGGTTGGCGCAGAATTGAATGGGTCTACACAAGTAAGGGTTCTTCGCAGCCTTTGTAGGTTTCGATCATTTAGTTCCTCCTATCGGAGCTTCCACTCTTTACCATGCAAGAGCAATTCGCATAAGCATACCAGTTCAGATGCTCTTGACCCTCGCCTTGACGATCTTGGAAAGGTCATACGAGACGAATATGCGGTAATCCGAGATCATTACGGTACGTCTGATTCTTTCCCATCCTCCCTGTGTCCGAAGTCGGCTTGTTGATCGACCTTGGTCATCACATCAGAAACCCCAAAGTATCCAGTTGTCCTTGCGCATGGCCTTCTAGGTTTTGATGAGTTGCGCCTTGCTGGCCCCCTCCTTCCTGGAGTTCAGTACTGGCGCGGAATCAAGGAAGCTTTGACCCTGAAAGGAGTGAAAGTCATCACTGCAACGGTACCTCCTTCGGGGTCCATTGAGATGCGTGCGGAGGAGCTGGTGAAGGATATAGATGATGGCGCGCAGGGGAAAGCTGTAAATATTATTGCGTATGTATTCTCTACTTTAATTGGTTCAAGGATAGCTTTCAGACTGACCAATGTACAGACATAGTATGGTAAGATAGTCCTTTACCTATCTTAGTCGATGAAGTATTCACAGTCGTCTTACAGGGGTGAGATACACTGTAATCAGATGAGACTGCTTTGATGATTTTTGTTGACATGACAAGGGGCCTTGATGCTCGGTACATGATAAGTCGTCTAAGACCGAAGAAGTTCAAGGTCTTGTCTTTGACAACGATTGCGACTCCTCATCGAGGTATGTTGTGTCCTTGGAATGATTCACGGCTATTTACTTAGACAATTCAGGTTCTGCGGTTGCAGATTATGTCCTTGAGCGAATTGGCGGTTCGTTCCATAATTACCCTATACAAAGAACCAAACTCATGCCTATAACCCTGCAGACGAACGGCTACCCCAGTTATATTATACTCTCGGAAAACTCAAGGTTGAAACTGGAGCCTTTTCTCAGTTGACGCGCAAGTACATGGAAGATACGTTCAATCCAGCGACGCCTGACGTCGAGGATGTTCGGTGAGTGGTCTGCAGTAAATCAATGGCAGCAAGGCTGAGCGTTGTACAGTTACTTCAGCTACGGCGCAGCGATGCAACCAAGCTTTTGGTCTATGTTCCGCTTGCCCCATCGCGTTCTTCAAGAGGTGGAAGGATATAACGATGGGCTAGTCAGCGTCGCTAGCAGCAAATGGGGAAAATACAAAGGTACCCTTGAAGGGGTCAGCCACCTGGACTTGATCAACTGGACCAACAGGTTGAAGTGGCTTGCGGGTGAGATAACTGGAAACAGGCAAAGGTCCGTAAAATCTATCCCTGGTCTTGATTTCGTCCACTAATATGAGCTGGTTTCAATTGTAGGTTCAACGCCATCGCGTTCTACCTTGACATTGCAGGTAGGATGCGTCAAATTTCTCGCGCGACCAACTTAGTTCTGTGGCTGACCATCCATGTTAGATATGCTTGCTAAGGAGGGCCTCTGATGACGCTTAGTTTGGCCATTAACGAGAAATCTTGATGCCTAGAGATCAGCAACTGGAAGCTGCTGGAATGATGCTTTCTTTTGTCCCGTTCTGGAACCTTGGCGATACCCGATTAGACTAGCGATTTCTATGACACGGCAGTGACATTGTGCATCATGTCAAACGCAGGTATAGGTACATATCTTGACGCCGTCCAATGATGATCAGCCTTCTGCACAGCTTTCTGAATCAGTGGTAGCGTCGAGGGTGGCGGTGCAGCTCTATTTCCGTAGATTGCGAGTGGCTTTGCTCGAACCCTGGCCTAGGCTCAGAAGAACAACAGATCAGGAGAACCAGAATTAGCCAATAAGAATGACAAAAGGGATGAGGAGTTGAAGAATATAACAATAAGAGGACGGCATTTCTTCGTCTTTTAAATGTTTCAATTTGTGACGAAAGCGAACCCTCTTCAAAAGTGTCAGGAAGAGTCACTAAGAGTGGCCCCACGCCCGCCTTTTGCTCTTCGTATTGGAAGAACGTCATATTTCCCACCCTCAGATGCCTTAGTCCATGCCGAAATCCCGTGCTCTTTTTTCCGTCTTACACTTGATCTCTATAACACTGGTGTGAATCTAATTTTTATAAGAACAGTTTGTACAGTAATTCCATAAGACACACTTGTATCGTCCGGTTGGAGTTTCGACGGAGACTGCACGCTGTCGCTTCAGCTACATCAACAACCACCATTTCCGCTATCATCTTTTCAGGAAGGGAACGCTCGGCGACTGAGATCGAGTGCCTGCTATGTCTGTAACCATCCACTTGGACAGGCCACATGCTCATTTCACCAATCTCGACTTCCTGACGGGTAGAGTTGTGCTACATCTCCCCTCAGAAGCTCCGATAGGAGGCATTCAAGTGAAACTTGAGGGAGAAAGCAGAACTCGACTTTCCGGCCCACGGCATCCACATAATGAACAGTCGGATAAGAAACGGACGGAGCTTGAAGTTCATAAGGTTCGTCTGCTCGAAACAGCAGGTCAAAAATATCAGTCCGACTAACCGACTTGACAGATCTTGTACAAAGTTGAGACTCTCTTCCCAACTCCGGCTGTTTTCAACCAGAGAACTCAGAATACATCGTACACATTTGCTGCTGGGACGTACGAGTATCCCTTCCGATTCAAAGTGAGTATATCATCACTAGCTGAGGCCGACGACATTGACTGACATGGTTCAAGTTCCCTTTCAACAATTCATGCAGTTCACACAACAGTATGCTCACCAACTTGAACTTTACCGGGTTGAAGGTCGAGGTGGCCAAGGATACAAATCGACACGTTAAGAAGACGTTGCCTCCTTCTTTGAGTGGTTTTCCAGGCATGGCAGAGATCAAATATTATGTGAAAGCAACAGTCATTCGTCCACAGTTCTACAAGGAGAATCTGAGAGCCGTATGTACTAGTATCTTTGGCGTAGAAAATATCGTCATGAACAGTTGCTGACTTTTACCAGATCACACCCTTGAATTTCCTCCCAATTGAGCCTCCACGAACTGGAAGGCCTAACGAAGAGACGTACGCTAGACGTCATCATCAATTCAGCAAAGCTCCTGAAAAAATCAGAACCAAGAGTCTGTTCTCCAAAGCCTCCTCCTCATCGCTCCGGGATGTGGGAGGAGAGCCTCTTCGTGTCTCTGCAGATGCAAGACTGCCGAACCCGTCCATTCTTACTTGTAATGAGCCAATACCCCTGAGGTTGCTGGTGAGGAAGATCTCCGAGTCGTTCGAAACGATCTTCCTACAGATGCTGCAAATTGAGCTGATTAGTTATACCCACGTCCTGGCCCATGATCTTCGGCGCACAGAAGGCGGAAGCTGGGTTCTCCTCAGCCGCAGTAATATGTCTATTCCTCTTGGCAGAGGAGGGGACCCAGCTGGTACAGAATGGACACTTGATCCCTCCATGTGGAATCGCATTCCGTTGCCCAGCTCAGTTGCGCCA